GGACGAGTAAGTATTATTGATATGTAACTAGCATATTATATTTTTTAGATTTTTATAATTATATCTTATTCTTTTGTATTCGATTATTCGATTATATTCGATTATATTTGATTATATTTGATTATATTCGGTTATATTCGGTTATATTCGGCTATATTCGGTTATTGTTAGTGCATAGGTTTAATCAATAATTTTATTGAATTATATAGAAATCTCGAATTCAAGACTTAGATTTAAATATATATGAAGGTAAAATTCGATTTTTTTTTAAAAAAAATACTCTTTTAATGAATTAAATTAGAATCGTTTGAATTTTTAATTTTCGTTTAAATAAATTATTAGATGGATTGGACGAGGAAGATATTGCAGCTGGTTGGATTTCTGTAAATATAGGTATAATTTCTATTTTTAATTCTTAATTTAAACTGCATGCGTTTAATCATGGTCAGAAAAAATTGCTATTCGTGTTTTTTGTATTTCGTGTATTTCGTAATATTGGTATATTTCGTGTATTTCGTGTATTGTTAGATTATTCGGTTTGCTGGATATTTCGAGTAGTCATATGACATTATTAACGTTCTTATCATGATGAATATGACGAATGACGAGTGTACAAAGTGGATCAGTTCGACTTATTCGAATTTTATTCGATTTTTTTTTTTATTCGAATTTTATTTAAATTATTCAAATTAGATTCGAATTATTTGAAATATTGACGAATGTCGACGAATGTTGATGAATGTTGATGAATGTTGACGTAATTTCACAACAACTATTAAATTACTGCATTACTGCATTATCGCGTTTTACAAGTTTTAGGAATCATATGTGAATGCATAAAACACGAATAAAAAAAGAAATTAAATCATTTAAAGTTTTGAATTATTTTCTAACCTTAAAAAAAAATATATATATTCGTTTTTCATCTTTTAAAAAAAAATGAATCAAGACGAAATTGGTAAAATAGATCCATATAACAAACAATTCTCTCAAACCACTCCAATAATCGATGGAAAGAAATCTGATAATGGTTTAATGGGTCATGGTAAGATAAAGTTTTTTTTGACCAAAATTGGGTTATTATAATATTCTTTATTTTTTTTTAAAAAAAAAGAAAGTGAACACTTTTAAAAATATTTTGGGGATAGGATAAATATAAATATAAATATAGCAAGTTATATAATCTACTTAAAGTGTGGATATCGATACCTGTTTTTTTTTTTTGTATATTTATCTATTTCCTTTTTTTAATTAGTGCGGTTTGAATTGTAACCAAATAAATATAAAGTGGGTTAAAAAGTAAGGAGGACTAAAATTGTTGGGTGATGATGAAGATTTGAGAATGTTTGTTTTTATAAAAACATTATAATTATCATAAAACAATATTACATAAACAATCATTATAATTATTACAATTCTATGTATAGATAAAATTAAAAAAAAAAAGATATCTACACTTTAGCTTTATAGAGTTTCTTTTTTTTTTTTTACCTTATTGTTTTTATTTTTGTCAGATATTTTATTTGCTTGAATAAAAACATATTTTTTCTTTATTTATTCATGTTGGGTTTATTCGTGTTGGGTTCGTGTTGGTGTTAGATTGGCGTTTGTGTTGTGTTAGGATGGGTAAATTCGTGTTGGGTGGTTAATAATAAGAATTAGAAAAAATTTTTCGTTTTTATTTACATTGCTTGTATATTATTATAATAGGTCCGTTTCCTTCACATAAATCACATAAACCAAGTGACAATTTTGATAATTTAGAAATTGGTGAACCTGGACCATCAACCTTTAGACGACCAATACGTTATGAAATTTCAGCAACTGCAAAAAATTGTAAGTTACTTACTATTACACTTTTATTTTTTAAACAATAGTAAATCTCTAATTCAAATTTTTTTAATACGTGATTATTTATATAAAAAAGATATATATAGCGATCATTGTAAAATGTTGTTTTTAAAAAATAGATGGAAAATAAATTCACAACCATGCTATGCTGCTTATCATGCAAGAATTGGTGATTTAGAGGGCATAAGATGGCATGTTCAACAAGCTGGAGATTTGATATTAAATGGGGTGCAAGAAGTTAATGGACCTAGAAATAGGTAAGATAATAATCAATTAAAATCAATTAATTAAATTAATTAAATTAATTAATTAAATTAATTAAATTAATTATAACAAAATGATGTATTTAGTTACAGAAGACCATTAGAAGCGTTACCATTAGAAGCAATAATGTATTGCCCGGCCAAAAAATTATTACCCACATTAATATTTCTAAAAAAAATGGGATCCAGTTTAAATTGTATAGATTCATATACCGGAGGAAGTTGTATAAACTTTTTATCACAAAACAATTCACTTTTAACCGCTTCATTTAAATCGAATAATTATTCACCTTATAATCCAACAACATTTACTCACCTTAATACACAAGGAATTTATTTTAAAAAAGTATTATTATATTTATTAGAACAAGGTTTAGATATAAATTCTCAAACGTGTACGGGTGACACATTATTAACTTCTTTATTATTTAAATGGCATCCAAATTTATCTCCTTCAATAATTGAATTTTTAATAGAACAAGGGGCTAATCCAAATTTGGAAAATATAAGAGGTGGAACTCCTTTAGGTTATACATTATTGGCTACAAGATTTGAAAATGGTGGTGGTCCATTTAAAAAAGTTTTGAAAATTTTGAAAATTTTATTAAAAGGTGGTGGTGAATGTAATCATGAAATTGTAATACCGGGTAGAAGATTAAGAAATTTAGGTTGGGTTTGTGTTGATATTAGTTCTAATTTATCAAAATCTCAACAAAAAATTTTGGTCGAACTTTTAATTCAATGGGGTTGTGAATTTGGTACTTGGGGTAATGATTTTAAAAAGAAACGAAGAAAGAAAAATAGAATGGCAAGTGAAGAAAGTGGAATTTTTGGAAAATTATATGCTGATGAATTATTAAAATTTGAAGGAGAGGTTAAAGGAAAACATCCTGAAAAAGATGATGAAAAGGATGATGATGAAAAAGATGATGAAAAAGATGATGATTTGTATGAGGAAGCTGATGAAGTTGATGAAACTGAAGGTGCTGGTGTTGGAGGGCATCCCGGAACCATTAGTGGAGGTGGTATTTTAAATACAGATTATAGTGAAGAAATTGATGCGATTTATGATGAAATTGATGATGATGGTAATGAATCACCCGTATTGCCATCTAATCAAGGTGGTGGAAGTTTATTAACTAAAAGATTAAAAGGTAAAAATTTAAAATTTGAAACTCCAATAAAAATACCTCCATTATTATCGAGTCCACCTACTTCTCCTTTGCCTCCCACTTCTTCACTACCACCAATACCCACGCAAAAATTTCCGGGACGTCGTGGAACATTAACCGCACGTGATATTCCTGTATCATTATTAAGACCATCAGCGTTGAATACTCAAATTCCTCTAACAGGATCACGTCCTCGTTCTCGTTCAATGCATAGACTATCATTGTTTTTTAATCCATCACCTACAACTCCCAAAACTCCAATGTTTAAACCAAATAGTCCACAAAACATTTTAGTATATGCGGTTCAATTAGATCGACTTGAAATGATAAAAATTCTTTTAAAAAGAATTTATGAACTTAGTGAACCGAAAAGTATAATAGCTGCATTAAAAGAATGTGGAGTTAATTTTACTAAAATTGAAAGTGATGATGAACATGATAATAATGTCGAAGAAATCATAATATCAAAAGAAAAATATGGTTTCTTTGAACATTTGTTTAAACATCATCATGATGGTAAATATGAAATTAGAAAGTATTTAATGACTTGGTATGGAAAACAAGGTGTTTCAAAAAGGAAAAAAACAATGATTAGTATCGAAAAAATGAAACAAAAATGGTCAAATAAAGCAAAGAATGGATATTTTTCTAGTAGAGGAATTGATGCTGAATTCGTTATGGTTAATGCTCATGATAAAGAAATTTCTGATGATGAAATTACTGATGATGATGAAAATTATGATAATGATGAAAATTATGAAAGTGGTGAGAATTATGAAAGTTATGTTCTTGATGATGAAAGTGAAAATGATTCTAGAAATGATGATTCAGAAAGTATTTTGGAAAGTCCAACTAAAAGTGATTTAGAATTACTTAATCACGAAGAGAAAGAAGAATAAAATATATTATTTGATTTTAAATATATAAACAGGGAATATATATATATATACGGTTTTAGAATTAGGTGAAATTATGTAAATTGGGTGGTCGTTATAAACGTAAAACATTTTCTTTTTTTATGAGGACTTTTCAATATTTATTTGTAACATTATTATTTTTTATTAATTCGAATCATTATTATATAAGAAAAATCTTTGTATTTGTATTTTATTCAGATGTATTTTTTATACAATTCATAAAAATTTATTATAATCAATGATCATTTATTTACAATAATTTTTTGAAAATAAAAATTATTAATAGTAAAGAACTTGCAAGGTTAAATTACTTGGTTTGTATAGTAAATAATTTAGCAATTGGTCAAGTGGATTAGTGGTGGCAGAAACGATCCTCGGTGACGTAATTTCCGAGCATTTTTAAAGCTCCGCAGATCTTGACCCAGCTTTGAATATTCCGCATGATAGTTTAATTTATTAGTCAAATCGAGATTTATAAATCTAATTTCTGTGCGTATAATTTATTATATTACCAAGTATATATATAGAAACAAATAAAATATAGCCTTCGATGTCACATTTTAATAAATTATATACTCTCAAAGATAAATAATTAACTATTTCAATGCATTGTAAACAAAATTGAAATTTATTTTCTCAAAATATTAACTTTTAATATCATTCGTGTTCAACTTATATTAACTTTTAATATCATTCGTGTTCAACTTATATTAACTTTTAATATCATTCGTGTTCAACTTATATTAAATTATTAGTCTATCTTATGTATATTATTAATTATTGAAAAAATTGACATTCACGATTATCAAATTATATTTAACTGCTAGCCTATCTTATGTAGTTAATTATCAGAATAAAATTGAGTGTATTCAAGGTTATTCAGTTATATTAAATTACAAGCCTATCTTTATTTAACTTTGTCGCAAAATATTCAGAGTTATCAAGTTATTTTAAATTACTAGTCAATTTTAGATAATTAATTAATTATTGAAATAAAATTGACTTTGTGCGTGATATTCAGGCTTATCTGACAATGATTTAATTGTTAGAAATGAATACATAATTTTGCCGTAATAATTCTTCAACAATGTATTTAACTATTTAGAATAACATTCAGATAAATAATTTCTCATTGTAATGATTAGTTTATATAACGAATATAATAAATTTTTTTAATAAAGATTAACTTCAACTACAAAAAAAATTTGATAAAGTCTATGCATTTATTTAGTTAATACGCATATTTAATATTTAAAACTTAGCTTTTTCCATAGTGTTCATCTTATTATCGATTCGTTCTAGTCCAAACTTTTTAAAACTTTCTATCCATCTTAGTTAAATCTTTTTCTTTTTAACTAAATGTCTAGTTCGAGTAATACAGGCAAAAGCAAAAGTTGTTCTCAGTGTTACAAAATTAAATTGGTCTCTGAATTCACGAGAGAAAGTAGAAATAAAGTGAAAGAATGTTCCATATATAACTCCTGTGCTGAGCAAGAAAAAAAATGTAATGCCAGATCGAATTCCACTAAAAGTACTCAATCATTAAGCACTAACATTGAAACAAATAAGGGCAGTAATGAAAATATTGAGGATGAGCTTCTCTATGATATTCATGACCTTGAAGAGTTGGTAGCAAATAAATTTCAGAATTGCAAAGAGGAGAATCGTCATGCTGAATTTTCAGTGATGGTAGAGCTTGAGAGAGAACCTGAAGAAGAAGAAATGGCATTGCTTGAGGTTAATCAACACAATAAAGAAAATAAAAAATTTCGTGCTATAATTAGCACTTTACTTGAACCTCTTTGTATTGGTTTGTTATTTTTTTTTTACTTTTATTATTATATCTTCATTGTTACCATATAAACCAAGGAAAAACATTCAATGTGTGCATGTGCGCTCCGCACATAAAAATTTTTTTGCACACAAAAAGAATATAAAATTGTGTGCAAAGCGTACATAACTTATTAGCAATATATTTTATATAATGTGTGCTATATAGTTAATAAATTAAGAGCACACATTATATTTAATAGTATATGTGGCATACGAACAATAAGTTTAAAATTATGTGCGCAATGCGCATATAATTTTAATTCTAAATTTTTTTTTCTGGTATAAACTCGAAATAATGTCCAGGGATTTTATCTTGGATTTTGGACAGAATTAAGCATAATTTATGCCAAAATTTGAAATTACACCCTGGGCGTTATTTCAAGTTTATATGGTATTCCTCTTTTCGGCTTCTTTTTTCATCATCCTCTTTATTTTTTCATCCACTAAACTTTCTTATTCTCATCTTCGCTTTTATCATTATTAGGATCTGGTTATCGTTGGGAACTTCAGAGTCTTTATAGAAATAAAATAAATAACCAGTTTACGGGATGTGCAACAGCTCATTTAGGTTGCACACAGCGAGATAATCGTCAACATAAACGTTCAGAAAACCAGCCCATAAAGCGAATTAGTGAAATACGACCTGCAATTAAACGTTTTAAATGTGATGGCACAATAGTAATAAAAATTAATCTACAAATGCGACAACTAACAATAGATGTAAAACATTTAATTGCTCATGAACATCCTACCTATACAGAAACCGGAATGCCAACTAATGCTATATTATGGATACAAGAGAATATTAATCGTAGTTCAAGAACGATTGATATCTATAAACAGCTTTGTAATGATCAAATAATTAATCCAACAGTACATACTTATGCACAAGTATACTATTGGGTAAATAAACTTTCTAAGGACCTTTATATAACGGATGTAGAAAACCAATTAAAGTCTTCTAAAAACTTCTTGGAACAGTATGATTTAAAAAATCAAGGATACAAGGTAGTTTATTATTGTGAAAATGACTTCGTACGTTCACTTGGATTTATTACACCGTTCTTTCAACAACTATAAAGAAATAGCATAACCGAAATTATTATAGATTCCATGTTTAAAACCAACCAAGGAAAGTTTGAATTATTTGTAGTACATTCTAATTGTGGCGGATATGGAATGCCACTTGCATACTTATATGTAGGCATCAATGCTGCACCTAAGGAATTTCTTTTAAATCCTAAGAATCGTATAAACCGACAGGTTAATGTTCTTAAAGATTTTTTTGCTAATTTACTAAACGAAGGAATTAAACCCACATTCATACTTTTGGATAAAGATTCGGGTAAAATTTCTGCAGTTAAAATAGTCTGGCCTCAATATATTATCCAGCTCTGTCTTTGGCATACAGAAAGAGCAATAAAACATAAATTAGAAAAAAAAAAATTAAAAAAACTCAGTACTCCGTACAAAAAGCAGTAGAAGCAAATCAATATTTTAGCTTTATTGATCCAAATTGGGTCCCTAACCCCGAAGAACAAAATCGTATCTCATATCCTAATGAAATTATAAAAAAAATATTAGATTTAGTTAAAAAACATTCAATTTTACACCCACTAATTCCTACAAATACTGACATGCGTATTTACCTTACATCAGAAGAGATATATTATAAAAGCGTTTTGGAGATTTACGAATTCTGTCGGCAAAATCAATTCGTCAATTTATGGAGTTATTTATGGTCATCTTGGTATAACAAAGGTGATTGGAATCTCTTCGCTCAAGCATCATATTCAAAAGCCATACCAATTTCTAGAACTACTATGATTGTTGAATCACATTGACGCGTCTTGAAATATAATTATAAATATAATTATAATCATCCACGTTTAGACCACCTAACTCAAATTCTGGTGAAAGAACTAGTCCCGAATATTGAAAATACTTGTCAAAGGTTTTATAATAACCGTGATTTTCCATCATGATGAAGTCAATTTAAACACGAATGGAAATTAGCATCTGAAAAAGAAATAGACTCCAATTGTCAATATATTATTGACATAGATATTTGGGTTTGTTCTTGCCTTAATTTTATATATAACCCTTATTTTTTATGTAAGCACCTAGTAAAGAAATACGGTACCAGAAATCCAGGGTTTTTTCCTTAATTCCTTTCTACATCACGTCACCACGACTATCCGTTTATTTCTTTTGGCATTCAAAATCTTCCAAGAATCTATCTAAATAATCATCCTTGGAACAACAATCTACAAGATGATATTAGTGAATTTGAAAATAAAATAGAAATAATAACTAATGAAGAAATAACTTCTCATATATTTGATCGTTGGACTGTAATTAAGAATAGAAAGGAAGAGCTAGCAGCTGATATAGAAATGTATAAAACATTCGTAAAACTTGTAGAGAATAATATTGAAAATGACAAGTTTTATGAAGTTTATAAGGCTTTTAAACAGCCACTTATTGCTGAAACTGCTACGTGTATCGAAGTTCTTAAAAGAAAGAAACAGCAAAGTACTTGGCAGTCTTCGACATTCTGGCTCCATTAACTTATTAGTATGAAAAAGTAATTAAACATTAATAGTACCTGTAAAATTTTTATTGTGCAAACTTTATTAATTGACATTTAATATTGCAGAAACTCTCTGCATTGCTAATATTGTGTTAACAATAATTTTAACATTATCGTTATACTTTTTTTTTAATTATTGATTATCGTAATCGATTACGTATGACTTTCAAAGCTCTAATTGGCTTGGAAATCATGTCACCGAGGATCGTTTCTGCCACTACTAATCTACCTCAATTGGTCTCTCAATCTAAAATTTGTGAATTTAAGTTTACTCAAAAGTGACTTCAATTTATTTAAATTAAACCTTAAAGCAAATTTTCAGATAATTACGTATTTCGAAAATTTGTTCAAGGTTGTCCGAGTGAGTAACCCGAGTTGAGATTGGGTGTACTATATCAGTCTAATTACAAATTACAAATATAATGCATGTCACAAAGATGGTGTACTGTATGTAGATCAGTATTAATTTAATGGTAAAAACATAGAAAGCTCAAGCTGCAATAACTCATGAACCAGCAAACCCACACAAATATAATTATATTTGTTAGGTTCTTTA